TAAGCTCCGCTCCGGCATCTGTGGGCGGTGGGCTACCTGCAAGGCTACAATGGCGCCCAAGAAAGGGAGGGGAGATCAGCCATTCGTTCCGGTTAGTAAAGACAAGCAGAGGGAGGAGGAGCTGAAGTTTTGCGGCTTTAAGTGGGTTACGAAGGGGCAGACGATGCCGAATTCGAATGGCAATTTCCTCATGGAGTGCAAGCTGTGTGGTCAGGGTTTTCAGGGGAGCCAGACGAAAGCCGCACAGCACTTCACGATCAAGAACAATTGCCCCAAAATCTCCGTGGAGCAGATGGCGGAGATATGGAACAAGAAAAAGTACGGGTTCGATCCAAGCCATGCACGGAAGATCATGGACTTTCTGAAGTCTCGTGGGTTGCGAGACAACATATGTGGATCGGGGAGGGAGCCGGCGGGGAATGAGGAGTTTGAGGACAGCGAGGAGCGGATGGCTGCCACCATGTCCGCCACAACTCGCTGCTGCTGAGGGATGCCTTCGCACGAAATGACACGGTGCGTGGGTAATGCCGGATGTGCATACGGCGGACACTCGAGCAACTTCTTCCTCATCCTATGATACTCTGGCCTCCTCGCCGCCTCAAATGGGATGCCGCTCACGTACCACCACTGCAGGACGGAGTCCGAGAATTCTCGTTGCCACACTGGATCGAAGGTCTCCAACATGGACGTCTGTCGAAGAACTCTGCTCTTTTTGGGCTCTGAAGGTGCTGATCTCGCCTCATTGGTAGTCATCTTCGCCTTCCTCTTTCTCTTCTTCGATCCCGCAGCCTCCTTCATCGCCCTAGCTGCCCCCTCTTGGCCACGACGGCCATCGCCCATCAAACCCCCCATCCAGAGAGGCCCCAAGGTCTGCTCCCTCATCGTCATCGTCGGCGTCGGCGTCCTCGTCAGGGGTGCTGTCCTCGTCAACGGACTTCTCCTTCCTCAACTTTTCCATGGCGCGCTTCACCTCTCGCCGCACCTCCATGTCCTCTGCATCACTCTCACCATCATCATCTCCACCCTCGGGAGAGACCATCCTCACGGATGGTCGCAAGTCCATCACGAGCGACCAGATGGTCAACTTCCTTGCTGCTGGTCCCACGGGCGCGTACCTTTTCAGGACTGTGGAGCGGGATGGTGCTGTTCAGGAGACAGCAGAGGCCGTAGTGGAGCAATGGAAGGACGTGTTTGACAAGTTTGGTGTCGACAAGGTGAACGCCATTTGTACTGATTCCGCGTTTGCGTATGTTGCTGCGTCCAAGCTCCTCGCCCAGGAGGAAGTCAAGTACAACCGCATCACTTGGCTTCCGTGTGTGGTCCACGTCTGCAACTTGTTGTTGTCAGACATCGCGAAGGATGGGCGCGACGGGAGCCTCGGAAAGAGGGAGGACACCATCATCAGGGCTCGAGCTATCGTGCGTTTCATCGGAGAGCACGGGGCGGATCTGAGCCTTTATCGACGGTTCTCTGCCGCCCACCCCTCTTCCGCCTCCGCGGCGGCTGGTGGTTCGAGCTCTGCGCCACCCTCGTCTCAGCGGCGAGGCAAGGAGCTTGTGTACCCTGTGCAGACGAGGTTTGCCACCCACTACTTGATGTTGGAGAGGCTGTTGGATCGTCGCAGAGCGTTGGAGGCGTTGATGATGAGCGACGATTGGCTGCGGACTGCATGGAGGAGGTCCATTTTTCTGCAGGCCAGATGGGTGCGTCATCAGGTGCGATACGCGCCATTCTGGGAGCACGTGGAGGACATCGTGGCGCTCATGACGCCAATGATGCAGTTGCTACGGCGTCTGGACAGGGGGGGTCGCGTGATGACTCGCATGTGGTCGTGGGGTTTTGTCATGGTCGACAGGGTGGCGAGAGCAAGCCTTAACAGGACGTCGAAGGACGAGCTCCACATCGTTGTTCAGGCTTGTCAGGTGCGGGTCGCTCATTTGTTGGAGCCTGCACATTGCACGGCCCACCTCCTCAATCCGCGGCAGAGGAGCATTACTTTTTTTGGAGCGGCGAGGCGTACCGACCACGAGCGGATACTAGCAGACGAGTCGTTGCGATACCTTCGCCAGCAGACTGGTGGTGACGAGAATTTGTATCAGACGTTGCGCACGCAGCTGGCGGAGTTTCATTCTCGGGAGGGCGATTGGACATATGGAGGGGCCGAAGGAGACAGGGATGCGGCCGCCTGCAAAGGGGAGAAGGAGACGTCACAGGTGGGGCAGTGGTGGGTTCAGCACGGGGACGGGGTCCCTCTCCTTCAGAGCAT